CGTATACCTTTGTAGGTGTCTACAATTAGTCGTTAAGTATGTTAAACAGCCTAGCAGAGCTTACCAGCGCGTTTCTTTACAAAATATTGCAATATGTAAAACGTTGGAATTAGCAATACTATTCACATATACACCTGTCTCGTATTTACGCATCTTCTAGAGGTATATATTATTGAATTTGACGCCCGCATCTCTAGATGTATAGTTTATATATGTCTCGGCATTTGCTTTCATATGATTTCCCAACCAGTAGGTACGAAGATGCGCATTAAATACTTTATTACATTATTATGATACACTAAGACCTTATATATCAACCTAGCCTAAATGTATATAAAACATATGCTTTTTACTTAAAAGTCTGCGGATTGGTTATCTACTTTAATTTTAAATTAAAATAGTACCTGGTCCAGACAATTTTATGTGAACCATGCAAGCCAAAACTTGCTTCAGATTAGGCCATTTGAATTTCCTCAGTGACTGAAATTATATCTGCTAGGTCTTTGCCTGGCTCCTAGAGCAAGTTCTTGAGGGACATAATTTCTTTGCTACTTCGCATGTCTTCCTTTAAGTATTCCCTAGTATTCTTATATGCTTGTTCGACAGCATGCTCATTTGACAAGTACTTTAACAGTCTTCGACTGCTTTGAACTAATCACTGCTGTACACCAACAGAGATCGTTACCAATGCTCTGCATTAGTACTATAAGCCGAAATAGTGGTTACGTACTTGACCATGCTGATATTTCAAAAATCTTATACAACAAAAAGCTGGTTTAAAAAAGGTGCAAAAACTGGGCAGGACGACCCTGGTTGCACAGTCTGATTTCTCATAAGACGACATCCTTTACACTTCAGTTCCTCGGTCCACTTCGCCATTTCCTCAAGGTTAACTACGATGAGCCACGATTGGCGAATGAGGGGTAGTGACCCATAAGTAACGGCTTGACCAGCCTATGCGCGAAATAGACAAGCGCAGCGCCATTCTAGGCGCTAATAAAATTTTTCTCGCGCCACTTGGTCACTGAGGCTGTTTCTAGCCTTGATGGGCCGCAAAGATGTGAAACAGCTGGGTCGGCCAGGCGCCCACACCGCTGAATGACTGCAGAATTTCCACATCTACCCCCCATGAACCGGTTGTAGAAACGGCTCCTGTAACAATAGTAAAAGTCAAGTTTGAGTCACTCAATTCGTTCATGGAGCGACATAAAGAAAAAACTTCGCGTCCAACATCTCCATTTTTTTCATTTTCTCTCATTGACCTCGACTTTACTAGGGAATTGTTACATCCGAGAATTTGCGGAGTCAGCTTTTTTCCGCTCTTTCTTGATTTCTCTCCTAATCGGTATCTTTGGCCGTTTTGCCTATGACCGTTATACATTTCCAAAGACACGAAGGCGCAACGTGTCGAGCGTGCTAGCTTGAACAGCGCTCACAAAACTCGCCCATCTGCATATGATAAAAAAAAAGAGAGATTCCTTATCGAGACTTTTTGTTCCACCGCGAACAAACTTGCGCAGCAGCGCTCTGATGACGTACGTAAGCATCAATATGTAGAAAAAAGATACAGTCAGGATATTCTTTTTTAAATGCCAGTTGCTGTCGCTTCTGACCTTTTTTGTCCTTAAAAAGGCCCAACTAATCTACAGTTGAACCTTCTGCTTATAAAACTGTGTTGTAACGTCACATACTGATATAAATGTGGCCGATAGGTAATTTGTACCGTCGAATTTCGTCTGATCTATCTTATGCTAAACATGTACGGTATGCATTTTGCGTACGCACATACTATAGACGCAGTTGGGTCTATGCACACATAATCATGGATATTTATCTTTATAGCAAGTTAAGTGGTTTAGAATCCGCCTAAAGTGGGAGAAAATATGCAAGGCGACGTTAGCAAAGGGTAATTATGTCGTGAGTCGGCAACAGGATTGCCATGTTATACTTGTACAACGGTCCGCCATTAGCCGTACTAGATGAAACGCACGCGTTCTGTTCAGGGTAATGTGTAGCTTGTGTCATAGCCATGGCTTATTAAACCTAGGAAGTTTTATTGGGTTAGTGCTGTAGTTATTTGTGACTACTACTAAGAAAAATCAGTAAAACAGCATAAGTAATAGGCCAGTAAGGACCATATAGTTTTTTTGGTAATGTAGAGTGTGCTTCAACTAGTACTGTTTATTTTCCGTTAATAACAAAGTAGAAATAACAACTCATTATCGATCCATGCATCATTTGATCTATATCGCTAGTGTATTATGTGAAGCGTTTCTATAATATGTAAAGATTTTCCGTAGCACAAAGAATCTGTTTTGTCAGCGGCGAGCAATCGGTTAGATGTCGCGAGGACCGATAAAATAAGTTAGGGATAGATAGGTAGACATAAGGACTGCATACAGTCTGCTTCTGTTGATTACCATTGCCCTAGTTCAAGCAGCTTTTTTACATACTTCCGGACCATTTCGTAGGGTCTGACAAAAAGCAATTGAATCTTTTATCCTTCTTGAAATTATTCATTGCTGGATATAGTCTTTGTACTGCATGAACTAGAAATATTTTTTCAAGAGCCATTATAGTTATATGTGTAGTAGCGGTATATTTGAACCGATAACAATTAGGTGATAGCATTTGCGTGGAACCAATTAGAGCATTATTTAGTCATCCGCAATAGAATTACTTGAATACACAATAGTTATCAGAATGATCGTGTTATTATTTCGATTAATGTGTTATTTTCTTTGTCGCTCTTGTTGCTGGTTGCCCGGAAAGCTGAAAGGGGAAAGAGCGGCGTTTCCTGTTCTCGACCTGTCGTTGATGACGGAGTTGTTTATGTGGCTGAAAACTGACGTGAAAAGCGTCCCTAGGGCCGTTCATATTAGATTTTGGTTTCTTTGCAGGTCTGGCTAGAAATATCGCCTTTGGAAGGTTTGTTTGCCAGGGGATCGCAAAGTCGCGTTGTTACATTTGCACAGAAGCATTCATTGATACAGACAGGCCGTCACAAAATCGTGGCGTGTATTTCTTCGTTGGTATGACTTGATCGTGAGTTGGATGTCAAGTGATACGGAACACGGTGAATACAAAGAGAATGTCTTTCAAAATGACTTGAACACCAGCTATTGATTTAGTTTGATTTTTAGAAGAACTTTAGGGCTGGTACAGACGTCAGAAAAACTCTACCGTCTGATCCTGATCGGCTAAAATTGTATGTGTTCATGTGATAACAATAGGGCTGCATGAAAGGAAATTTTGTCCTAGATACTCTGCAATGATTGACTCACTTGCTGCAAATAATATTGCACTCCTTGTGGGCTAGATCTATGGACTTCGCATATAATCTTCGTAGCTTACTGGGTGCTTCCATTCTCAGTTGTAAAGAAGCGTCTTATCGCTATAGAGAATACGATCACGTTTATTTTTAAGCGAAGTACGATTCAGTGATACTTGCCCCATAGAGTTTTGACAAGACTACACGGCTAAAGGAGTGTAATTAAAAGTGGAATTCAAAATATATGTGAAAATGAATATTGGCGATGCCCTTAGCAATACCAGGAAATGAAGCTGATGCAGAGAACAGGTATTAAGTAAAAGCTTAGTGTACTTCAATTTTTAGTAAGAAAAAAACACACGTGAAGGGGCTTTTTATTACATTTTTAGGAAATTAGGAAATTCCTTTTATGCTCACATGAGTTTCCCGGCTACATAGATACTTTTCAAAACGGCGACAGATCACATATTTCATAAGCCTCTTTACTTACCTTCGTGTCAGGCACTGCCTACAATATTACACCAAATGGTAGTTTACAATCATTAGGTCACCTTTATTTATATTTGATCAACCTAAATTCAACGTTCCTTTGATCACATCCAATTCTTAGTTTTTTTTTCTTATGTTTTTCCATAATTTTCAGTTTTTAGCCAATTACTATACCAGCATGATAAAGATTTTTGTCTGTTGCGGTGACCGGATAATTTTCACGTATTAAAAAAAAAATAAGACCGTTAACGCAATAGACGTAGGACCGATTTGAGTCTCGTAGAGTACATGCGAACTAATGCGGTCTAATATTCGTAGAGTTATCAATGTAGATTATCACTATTATTATTAATATGCATTTTCTTATCTCATCGTTTCCTATTTCTGTTTATACTCTATTGAATTAGGTATTCCAATAACATACAGATCAGATCAAGATTTAGCTAGTTATATATAAAGAGCAGATTATTGCTTCATAAATGCATAAACTAACAGCAAACAGATTAATTTACTGTCGCTTTTTTCTTACTGAAATGTTTACGTTTTATTTAAATCATTCTTTTCATTGACTGGCCTTCCGGATCTGTGCTGAACGTGCTACTAGATCTACGTTATTGATAGTGCGGATCAGAAACGATTTGAAGAAACGGGAGTTGAGTTATGCGAACTAATGCAATGCGACAAGCTGATGCGAGTCCCACTGCTGGTATTTGCCAATAAGCAAGATCTCATGAATAGCGCCTCTCCACAGGACATAGCTGAAGGCCTCAACCTGCAGGGCATCAAGGATCGGACTTGGCAAATACAGGGCTGTAGTGCGCTTACCGGAGAGGGTCTTAAGGTAATTGTATTAAAAAAATCTTTGTTTTTTTTATTCGAATTTTTATTAACCCACTTTTTTGACAAGGGAAGGTTATAACACAGTTTAAAGATAGTTTCAAGCGATTGAGGAAAACTGATCCTAGGCTAAAACGTCTATTCTAGTTAGGTATTATTGTATGTTAGATGCAAGCAGTCTTATCATCTATTGGTGCCACCTATGTAACGCTCTAGCGTGTTAGTCATAACAAGCACGGATGGGAATCAAGAGTAAATTATGTACACAGGAAAAAGTTTATACGAGAGAATTTTACGACGATACCATGCTGAATAGAAAAAGAAACTTATACATGCTCTTACTTAGTTGTAATTCGATGGCACTCAATTAATTGTTGATAGGCCGTTTATTACTTTACAACCAAGTCAATTATAGACTATTAATTAAATTTATGTAATTTAACATACTTTGCAATGAAACGACATTTATGTAAGATCAAAGCAGATTAATATGGTAGGTTTTCTCTTAGCACTCGAATGACGCCTATTGTCGAAACACTTATTAAACCCAACATTGTTTATCTGTAATCGTAACATCCACTAAGTCAAAAATTTTTTACGAAAGATTTTTTTATTAATAGATCAAATCGAATGTAAGACATGTTTCGTAGGCTATACAGGAAGAGCAAGAATAGGTTGGAAGAGTCTACTTGTGGTAAAGAGAAATACGTTTCACTTGATATATACGACCCGTCAAATCATGTATCTCATAGATATTTTTTTGGTCCCAGAAAGTACCTGGGGTGTATCATACCAGAACAGCTTGGGTCTTTCTGAAACTGCAAACGAAAACGGCCGTCAACTACCTCCCAGTCACTAGACTCGATAATAATTCCTATGGAGAAATTCATTTGATAAGGATTGCGCAAATGAAGAGATGTCGCAATAACTTAAACGCTACTCAATATAGTAGTTTCAAGGCGGCGTTATTTTTGTTAGTAGTATACTCGGTGCACCATCGTCGAACAAACAAACGCGAACCGGTCGCGCCCTGCAACCCCCCAGGAGGTTTTAAATTATGCTATAGGATATTTCAAGAAAACTAAATGAGACGAAAATACTCATGCATGCAAAATGTTGCAGGACAAAAATATGCAGAGGGTACCTTCGTACCGCCTCTAATGTTATTTAAATTTACATCTGAATGAATAGTGCGACAATATCAGGCGAAGCAAATCAAGCATGGTTTCTGACTGCTTGAAGGTTAAATGTGGAGAAATAGGGGACTGAGCCCATTTCATCTCAAGACGGATTTAAAATGAAAAGCATAATTCAGATCATTACACAAAGGCAACAAGTATAGCCCAAGTCCGTCCAAACTAACAACATTCTACAAGTGCATATAGAAACGAGGTCTAGCTAACAAATAAGATCGCATGCCGCTTAATGGGAGTCAGAATTCGACTGACATTTCCGTGTACAGATAAGTTTAATATGTCCTTGTTGATTTATATGTAGGTTTAGAAGGATCCGATAATAAGCTTCTCTTGGGCAGCGTAAAGGTTAAGAAAATAAATCAACGTGCCAGCATTGTTGCTATGTATAGTACTAGAAAGTTTATTTTTTTGTGAATGTTTACGAACTTAGTGATATTTAAACTAGCTATAAAAATTTCGCAATAGAAGAAGACCAATGGTTAGTTTTTATACGGTAGTATTCACTATATATTTACGTTTTATTATACAGCAGAACCGCATAGATGCTTTTTGTTACCGAGTAACGAAGGCTCCACAGGGTAGACAATTTTGATTTGCAATAAAGTCTTTCATATCTTTATTATTACAACAAACGTACTTTAAGCCTTTGTCGTGGTGATCCTGCCATCGCGGTTCTGGGGCAGCATTCTCATTGACATATTGCTACCTTTTATGGCTACCCGTTCTACAAAGCTATTTAGGTGTAGTCGAAAGGAACATAACATGTTTCGATTAAAGAAGGCCGTAAATAAAGTTTTATTTTTTTTCTACACCTTTAGATCAGGTACTGTCTCCTATCAACCCATTAATACAATTACAGGGGCGACGTTCTAAAAAAACAAACCCTTGTTGTACGTTCGGAAAACGCCATCTGGCGAGCGTTTTGGTTAATCGAAATTATATTGTCACTTCTTGATGCCCCGGCGGCTGTTTAGCCAAGAAGTTGCACAAACGTGTTCACTCTCCAAACGTTTTGTCGTCCACGATTTTTGTATTACGTATTATAAAATAAATAGAAATACCAACTACGAGGCTTTTTGTTAAAATTCACATGTTTTACTGCCCACGCTACGCATGACATACGAATATGGTTAGAGACGTCTTGGACGCTTATAGTATCGGCCTGTTAAAAATATCTAAAATGCTCTCAAATAATTTTTTAAAAAATTATATATATATATATATACTCTTTTTTAAAGAGTATAATATGTGAGAATAACTTTTTGATTCACTATCATTTTTGTGCCCATTATACTTGCAGTACTGCTATAATATGGAACGTAAGTATGGAATAGCTATTAAGGTCACAGACGCTTACGAGAGTGCACTAGCCACTATTCATTGGCTTACGTTTATCGACATGCCTATATTCATACGATTACAGTACGGCACGTATATAATTATACTTCGTGGCCGTGGTTATGCTTCAGTCAAGCAGTTTTGGCGTTATTTCTTTTTTGTTTGGGTTGTCTTATGTTCCATTACCACAGCTGCTATAACCGGGAGATATTGATAGACTGTTGCTGGCAGTGGTGGGTCGTATTATAATCAGGCTGTGATGGCCCAACAGCATAAGCCTCCTTGTTTTCGGCCCTGGTACAACTTATAGATTAGTCGTGTAAATCAGTAGCTTTTTCTTTTTCTATGAAAAGATTCCTTCTAGCTTCGTGCTGTTAACCTTCCTTTAGGCTTCGATTTGGTGAGATGGCGACCTTTAGCGGAAAAGCTAGTTCGGTGTAGTTTATCACATTAGACCATTTGTATTAGTTATTTTTTCTTCGATACATCTACTCACCAGTACCGTATCAATAATGACTATTGTACAATATAAAAGATATATTTTTATTTTGATTAGATCTACAATTCTAGTGACAGTAAGATTAGGAGTACTTTTGAAACAAACATATGTTTCTGCTCTAGTAGGAACGATAGTAGTCGCCTAAGGCGATTCCTTTCTTCAATTGTCAGCCGTACAAAGCGCTGTGATACTTTTTATGGCATTTTGATATTTAGCTAACCTGTTACCAGCAAATACCACTCAAAAATTGTAATTTTCTATATATACATCTATAGAACTTTTATACTCCTGTATAAAATGTCGCAAAGTCAGTGGTGAAACGTTGCAATTTTACGCAATATGATCGTCGACCAGATCAAAACAGATCTAATCAGAATAACAATAATAACGATACGACCATTTACTGGCGAAGTAGAGAATAAATTCGACGGGTTGCCGGCTTTGATGTTGGGGGCTATACTTCGTCACAAACGATAGTTTTTCTCTTCGATGCACATAACGATTTGCTGCAGACTTAAGGCTGCCTTGAGGAGTATACTCTCAAGAAGCTTGAAGCTCTACCTTCACGACGACTTTTATGTAGTCCTTAAACACGCGTAGCTTATATTAAAATCTAAAGGAAGCGCTTAATTCAGCTGGTTTTTATGAAGTCACATTATAAATTGTAAACTACGCAATCTAACGGAAAATCGAGCAAAAATAAAGTATAAGTTAGTTTTTGGGTCGTCTTCAAGAAGTGAAGGCATTTGGATCATAATGGGTTGCCTTCGTGGGGTTGGCTCCCATGGAACTAACCCTTGTATAGAAAGCTTTCCTTCTCTAATCAGATTGCCAGACTTTTGGCACTCACTGATCGGCTAAGGCGAAATTACAGGTATCGTTGAGCTTATGACTTATTCATTTCCATTTCAGGATGGTCTCGAGTGGGTAATCAAGACAGTAAAACCGGTATCGAAGAGGTAATAAACATCAGCGACTGCACACATAGATACGCACACACGCACGCGCACACATACACACACACACACACACACACACACACACACACACACACACACACACACACACACACACACACACACACACACACACACACACACACACACACACACACACACACACACACACACACACACACACACACACACACACACACACACACACACACACACACACACACACACACACACACACACACACACACACACACACACACACACACACACACACACACACACACACACACACACACACACACACACACACACACACACACACACACACACACACACACACACACACACACACACACACACACACACACACACACACACACACACACACACACACACACACACACACACACACACACACACACACACACACACACACACACACATATACGTGCATATATATATATATATATATATAAATAAAAGTAATACAGTTATATGTACAATCACGGCATATACGTGTGTGTGAATGAGTGATTCTCTGAGAAAACTATTGACTCATTGTAAATCTGTTTGCATAGCTTAAGGCAAAGCAGAAATGAATGATACTGGTTCTTCCTGTACTCGCTGAGCGTATTCACTGCAAAATAATTACTGCGCTGTAATATTCGAAATTGTGCATGTCTGTGACCTTTCCCAATGTCGGCTTATTTTATGTACATCAATATAACACAGTAAGAAAAATATAGATTATTTCACACTTCATTCACTATGTTTCAATCCTGCTGCGAGCAAATAGGCATTCTCGGACGCGAATCAATAGAGGTTAATGTATTGTACAGATCGCATCTGTATTGTATATACCATAACCAAGTTTACCGTAAGCTCAATATCGTTGCATTTTTCCACTTTGTAGAATATAGATGTTAAATGAATTATATTAATTTTACTCACGTAATTGCTCACGATTATCGAAATCTGTACGCGGCTCCTTATTGAATGAGCCATTAAAACAAATCGAAAAGTATATAACGTTCTAGAATAGGCTAAGAATGCGTTGAATTTCCATGACCTGCAATGCCACATAGAAACGCCCGGAACAAGTTAATTTCTCGCTCACTAACCAAACGACTGGATTCGAGCCTTCCTGCGAAACTATATTGAAGACTTCCCGACATAAACTACGCGAATTTTTAATACTTCAGATGTGAAATTGTTCTCCGTCGTGTTATATGGATTTGTATAGAACCACTACATCCAATATGAATCTAGAGAGGCTCTCCGTAGTTAGGACGTGGAGTTTATGTGCTGGGGAAGAACCCTACCTTTTAGAAGCATTGCTGTCTGTCTTCTTCTCTCTCGGTGACCTGAAACCTCTCTACAGGGTCTTTATCGGTCGAAAGCTAATGGAACACAGCTTCAATATACTATTGGTTAAACAGATACGCTGCTGAAATTGTTGTTGTATATATGTACTGGCCTACTTGAACGGCCTAGCAGATTACTTCTAAGGACTGCTCGTTTATAGTGCAGCTGTGTTTAGGGGAAATTTATGATAAGTGTTATTTATAGTGAATGAGGATAAACGTTTAATGAGGATTGTTTAAAGGAAAATGCGTGATAAGTCAACTGACAAAAATAGTAATGAAATCCCGGTTCAAGTGTGAGTTTCTGAATAGTAATTTTTGTTACAGTCGTTCTTTCCGAAACGAATCCGAATTAAAGTTGTATGTATTGCATATACAGTACGCGTTCACTGGATACCAATAGTCTTCATAATGATTAGGTGTATATGAAGAAGTTAATCAAAAAAAAGTTTTTCGCCTTATATAATGCTGTAGCCACTTTAAAACCTGCACATGAGACAATTGGATGACGACGAGCCCGAATGCCCACCGAAAAATATAACACACATTCCATACTTGCTTGAACATATCGTGCACTTCTGCATATATACATATATATATATATATATATCTATCGGACTTCTTCAGGCTCACTAGGTGGCTATGCATGGTTTGGGCACATATCGACGTTATAGACGTACGAGTTGACACACGATCCAAATTGGCAATTTATGTACCTAGTGTAATTATTGTGGTTGTCGTATTTCAGCCTATTATAAGTATCAGTATCAAATCCGACTCAATATATGATTGTCAAAGTTTTCGCTGTCTGTGATGGGCCAGGAATTTGAAAGTGGTTTCTTCCTCCAGATTCCAGTATAAAATCCCGGAATGGCAATGGAGAGGAAGCAAGAGGCTTCTTACTTAATTTTTAACTGTCCAAAAGGCTTGCCGATTGATTCGCTGCTCTCGATATCAATGTTTACCCATTACCACAAGATTTAACTAGTGTTACAGACGGACGCAAATTTTTTTTTCTTTCAAGATAAAGTAGGAACAGCAGCCGCGGCTTGTCCGAAGTTTTACCGTGGCAGCTCCTCTAGCCCATCATCATCTGAAACAGTTTGAGTTTGCTTTTTCTTCATTTTCTCCACGTACCTACCCGTACATTAATATCTTGTAGTTTGCACTTGCCATTCGTTGCCTCAGCTATTCCTTCCATTTCAAGCTTCATTTGTTCCCGAAGACGTCGTGACATCCGGTTAATAGCAGAGACAACTTCAGCGGAAGGAGATGGCTAATGCCGTACCACAATGCTGCCCCTAACTACTAATTCTCCGTCGTTTCTAGTGCCCTCCCCTTTGATCCTCTTTCTTACGCTTTTGCGCATTGCGTATTTCACTGTCTTCACCGGCTGTACTTGTGCGACTAAGATCGCTTTCCGATATTGTAGTTGCGTCTATTTCAAGAAATCTGTGACGGAGTGACGAGACTAAGCGAGGGCATCCAGTTGTCTAACCAACCAGCAATTCTGTTGCTCCATGGTTAAGAAAGGAATTTCGATGCTTCTTCGCAGTGCTTCACCTATTTTCTTTTTTCCGTCTTTCCGAGGATTTCGGATCCCTTATACAATTGTTGTTGTTGTTGTTGTTGTTGTTGTTGTTGTTACCCTGATTCGCATGTTTCAAAAAGTGTGTAGCTAACACGACGGTTGCGTTTTTTGATGACTCGTCGAGGTCGAAAAGGGAATGAAATTAGTTAATTTTTGGAGGTTCTTGGGCTGAGCTGAGACACGCCTTCTCCGACGAGAAGGAGGAATAAGAGACACCGTTAATGAAAATTCCGATACTTCCTCTGCTGGGATTGAGCCGAAAGTAAATTAATCAAATAAATAATTGTCCCAATCCGATTTTTTCAGTAGAGCAGCTATTCTTTCCTTACCACAGACATAACCTGGTCCATATCAGTTTCGTCAACACGTCACTTCTGCTTCGCCCAATACGATACCCCAGCAGCAAGATAGAGTTAGCCTGTGGCAATATTTTGTTATCATACAGCGGCACACACTGGAGATGCTTCAACTGCGAAACACGGAGTTCATCATTAGTTTCCGTCTACGATCGTTGTCATTTGGTCGGTGGTCGTTGGCGTTTAATCACTCTCGCGGTCTTGTAGTGCCGTAAAAGTTTGCTGAGCTAGGATAAATTAACTAAGAGACTCAATAGCGATAGTTTATTCGGTTGCTTGAATAATTAGCAACTATTCATGCCAAACTCAGCTAGCCCAGGATGTACTAATGACAAGCCACTTGACTTGGCTTTGCGTTTTTAAAAGACCCTATAAATATATGAGCAAAAAATCTATATAGTTATATGATATAGTGTACATATGTATATAGTGCATAGCTATCGCTATTGTATATATGACGTTTCGTATTTGATAGGACGGAAATTGTTACTCGAATCTCACTATTTCGTATATTAGGCGTTTGTAAAGGAAATAGCTTTTTACACTGGTGAGTACGTGTTGGCCACTTCTATGAGCTGTATGCACATGCCTATTTTCAGCATAGAGTATATACACGAGTGTCATTTGCCGAACGCTGACCCAGAGATTCTCGCGGGTTTAGGAAATGACCCAACTGTTTTCCTAACAATAGAAACGACAGTTATACTGTGATTGCCCATTCTTTAACCTAAAAAAAGAAGGCTATGTCATTGCCATTACAGCCTGGGTTGTTCCGGTTTTCTATTCTTAAAAAATGCTATATTTTATGAAGCTGATATAGGACCCAAAATAAAAGTGACTATCAGGTCATATTTAAATTAACCTCCAGATTTCCATACGTCGTTTAGGATGCTAATAAAATGCTCAGACATGCCAGTTTTAAGTACAAGTTGACCTAAATGTCAACAAGACTATGTCCGAATATGTATGTAAGGAAATGTTCGATCCCCAACTGGAATTCCAAGTGGAAAATTCCATTCAGCCCTAAGTTTCTCAAAGAAGTAAAAATGATGGATAAGTGTTCCTAGATTTACCCTACGGCTTCTCATTTAACTTAATCTATTTTTTCTGACAATCGTAAATCGAAAAGGAACTCACTTGTACACCTACGTAAATAGTAGTAATGAGCGCATCTGATTCTTGGTTATTTACTATTTGCTCCATCTGACAACCTGCCCCAAAGTCCTCAAAACGAGCCGACGTTATCGTAGGTTCACGCATCAGAAGCATATACCGAAATACATCGGCGTTTAAAGGACAACTTACATCATGAAAATGTGATAGGTGCAGCCACAAAACATTTTTTCATGCTATGTTTTTTTTTGTTTACACGAATGCATTATAGGGTTGTGGAAGTTCGCGTAAAATATGTGTTGTATCGAAGCTTCTATCTGAAAATGCTGAACTAAACTGTAGATGTTTGTTCTATTCAATTTCGCAATGTTCTTAAAAGAATCGCAGACGAAGTGGTACCGAAATAATTTCTCTACCATCAAGCAAGCTGCGCTCTGAAAAACATTTAATGAATAACGACGATTTGTCAGAAAAGCTTTGGCAGAGGGCCTAAAGCCTATAGAAAATTCTATCTCGTTCTGTGGTTGCAAGCCCCTTAGCATTTAAAACTTCATGATAAAATGAGCTAATACTTCCTCATCTTAAAATAGCTTTCAAGTCATGGTAAGCAATTCTGACTGACCTGTACGCTGTGTACTTTTCAGTTG